TTTACTTTTATAGGAGTAAAATTTAAGAAGAGAGCTCGCCGAAGAGGTTACGGACTATTCATGTAACACGTGATCGACTAATAATGAAAGGTTAAATTCTCGATTCAATCCCTCAACTTTCATTTTTGAACTAAATTTACCATTAAACTTCAAAAAGTACAAAAAAAAATCCCTAAACTTCAATTTTTTAGACCAATTTTGTATTTCCGTCAATGGAAGTCCAGATGGCACGTTAAGTTGCCACAAAATCAATTTTTGTTTTAAATATTTAATTATGTTGAAAATAACTTAACTCACCGTGGCATTTTTATTGTCCACGTCATTTTAATTAGTTTATATATTAAAAATTTTAAAATTCTTTAAATACCCCAATCTTCATCTTCCAGCCCCTCTTTTTCTCCCTTCTCGTTTCTCTCTATCCTCAGATGCCTTTGCATCTTGCAACCCACTCAGCACCAATCATCCCTCATTGCTTCGGTCATCTCTTACCACTTTGATCAACACGTGATCACTAGAAGGAAAATGGAACCTGAATCACCAAACCTCTCTTTCTTCCCCAAACCTCATCTCTAATGGAACCCACATTTGGTTCCTCGCACAATAATAATGGCCAATAAATCTTATTCAAAAAATCAATTACACTGCAAACTTATACTAGATATGTAAAGATTCAAAAAATCAATCATACTGCAAACTTATACTAGATCGGTAAAAGGAAAAGGAAAATGCAAAAAACACAACATCCCTTCAATCAAGACCAACAGTAGCTAGATCTTGAAATTCAAGCAAGCAGAAGCCACATAAAACTCTAAATCCCATACCAAGATAGCCAAGCATGACTGCAGCCAACAAAGAAACAAAAGAACAAAGAAACAAGAGAAAAGAAGAAGAAGAAAATGAGAACCAATGAGAAAAAATATGGGATTTCTTTCAAAAATACCGAGAAAAGGAGGAAAAAAAATACTCGAATCGAGTTTTATTGGTTGGGTTCTCAACAGAAAAGGGGAAAACCAAAAGGATGATAAGGAGAAGGGAGGGAAAAGAAAAGAAGAAGCAAGAATGAAGAAGGTTCCAAAC